AAAAATTAATTAATAATAATAGATATTTTATACAATAATAAACAATACTAATATTAAATAATATGAAGAATAATAGATAATAACAATGTTACTATTAAATATTTTATACAATAATAAATAACACTAATATTAAATGACATTAAATAACATTTATAAAATAATACAAATAATTTATATTAAATAATAATAAATAACATTTATAAATAAAGATTCCAAAATTGGGTTTTCGCAGTAATTAACCATTTCAACTCAACTGTTCTTAAAATAAACCTTTTTTTTTCTTAATGTTAAGAACATTCATCTAAAGAACCTTTTTGACAATCTAAGGAACCATCAATGCAAAAGAGTGTAAAATGTCTTGAAATGTCACGATGTTAAATCGGATCTCAGCATCTGCCATCCATTCAGAAACCCATAGAACACAGTCTAACTGCAGGCCGTTTACAGTTTGAATGGTTACGCTTCACAGGTGAATGATGCTCTCACCTGTGTGTTCTGCAGCGCGGGCTGGTAGCTGGAGGGTCTGTAGAGCATCCTCTGCGCCGCTTCGGTGTGAATGTCTCCCAGATAAAGCTCCTCCAGCGGCTGATCCAGACTGTGATGCAGATACTGCTTCTCCAGCCGCAGCAGCTGCAGCTCGTGCATGGAGAAGTTCAGTGCGCAGCCGCAGTCGCAGTCGCTCCACAGCTCGTAGCTCACGTTCGGCAGCCAGGAGCCCAGATCCCTGCAGCTGTGCTTCAGCCGCTGAGCGAGCTCTCGGGCCACAGACGCCGAGTGACACACCAGACGTGTTCCGTGGATCTGATAGTCGGCCTCGGTGCCGGTTTTCGCAGTAATGAACCATTTCAACTCAACTGTTCTTAAAATAAACCTTTTTTTTTCTTAATGTTAAGAACATTCATCTAAAGAACCTTTTTGACAATCTAAGGAACCATCAATGCAAAAGAGTGTAAAATGTCTTGAAATGTCACGATGTTAAATCGGATCTCAGCATCTGCCATCCATTCAGAAACCCATAGAACACAGTCTAACTGCAGGCCGTTTACAGTTTGAATGGTTACGCTTCACAGGTGAATGATGCTCTCACCTGTGTGTTCTGCAGCGCGGGCTGGTAGCTGGAGGGTCTGTAGAGCATCCTCTGCGCCGCTTCGGTGTGAATGTCTCCCAGATAAAGCTCCTCCAGCGGCTGATCCAGACTGTGATGCAGATACTGCTTCTCCAGCCGCAGCAGCTGCAGCTCGTGCATGGAGAAGTTCAGTGCGCAGCCGCAGTCGCAGTCGCTCCACAGCTCGTAGCTCACGTTCGGCAGCCAGGAGCCCAGATCCCTGCAGCTGTGCTTCAGCCGCTGAGCGAGCTCTCGGGCCACAGACGCCGAGTGACACACCAGACGTGTGCCGTGGATCTGATAGTCGGCCTCGGTGCCGCCTCGGACGATCCAGGACGCCTGCCGCAGACGCAGACGGCCCCGGATCAGCAGCGTGTAGCTCGGCGCGGTGCACTGATTGTCTGCGTAGTAGAACTGATGCGCCTGAAACGTGTTGTTGTGAAAGAAACGGTACGAGCGAGTGATGAACTCCGGACCGGGACGAACCTCACAGCTGCCACGAGAAGTCACAGAAAACACACGCTTGCTCAAACCAGTCATCAACTAATGTAAAAATATTAGAATATTAAATACGATTTATAAAACAATTAATAAGGATAAATACTAAAAAATATTTTATAAAATAATAAAAATATAAAATCATTTTATAAAACAATAAACAAGGATAAAATTAAATAGTATTAAATAATAAAAATATTAAATACAATTTATAAAACAATAAACGAGGTTAGTATGAAATAGTATTAAATAACATTTTATAAAATAATAACTAAATATAATTTATAAAACAATAAATAAGAATACTATTAAGTAACATTAAATAATATTGTATTAAATAATTAAAAATATTAAACAATTAATTCACCCAAAAACACAAACCAGTCATCATTAACTCACCAAATATTAAGTTAAGATATTCAAATATTAAATAAGACTTATAAAACAATAAATAAGGATAATATTAAGTAATATTTTATAAAATAATAAAAATATAAAATCATATTTTATAAAACAATAAACAAGGATATTAAAACGTATTAAATAATATTTTATAAAATAATACAAATATTAAATAGAATTTATAAAACAATAAACAAGGATAGTATTAAATAACATTTTATAAAATAACTAAATATTAAATAAAATGTATGAAACAATAAACAAGAACACTATTAAATAATATTGTATAAAATAATTAAAAATAAGAATAATTCACCCAAAAAACACTAATCAGTTATCATTAATTCACCAAATCTTACATTTTTTTATCAAACACTAATAAAAATATTAAATAAGATCTATAAAACAATAAATAATGATAATATTTGATTAAACAATAAATATGTCATATTTATAAAAAATATTTATATTAAATAATACTAAATATTTTATTAAAAAAAAAAAAAATATAT